ACCTCGACAGACGATTCGCGCGCGCGCTTTTCAGTTCCGGGTCAGGTCACATAATGCGCATGAACCACAACATATATACATCAAAGGTTCGAGTTGAATACATACCTTTATTTTGGATGAAATTACTGCTCAATCTTGAAGTACAAATGCGACATTCAAAATGTACTAACTGAAGTTAATTTGAGTTCTTGTGTTTTAATTTACCACAATTTTTCGATATTAAAATAAACTATAATTTCTGTACTATATGAGATTATGTATGATTTGAGGTTTTCACAGCGGTGAGTATGAAGATTTCTGTCTTCTGGGTTGTTGCGGTAGTATGGTAGATTAATCGCCCTGATGACGGAGGCAGTATGACCTCTGAAATGTTGGTAAACATCTACCATACTACGCAGCGCAACAACCCATAAGACAGAAGTCTTCATCTTTATATGAGATTACTTTAAAGTTACATTGGTGTAAAGGAATAAACAGTATATTCATCGCATATAATTCGTTGCTATTGATTATATAGATGCTATAATATTAATTAAGGTCTCGATTTACATCACCGCCAATTGCGCTCATTTTACAGAAACTGTAATTATTTCGCGAAATTATGGCCGAATATGATACCACTGATTACGGGGCGCCATAATGTTTAAAGGACAATTGGTTGTGCAACAATTAATTTTACTACGGGATCCAGATCAGATGTGGTGTTCCTGAACGTCTACCACTTTATCCTTTAAAAAGGCGAGCTCGCATTTAGTTTTCCCTGGAAAACGAATATGCGAATTACATGAATTCCAGGAAGTGTAATTCGAGTTAGTGGCTATATTATTTTGATTATCCCAGCAACTAACCAGCATGTTAGAAGTAGCTCGAATGAATCGGACGAGTGAGGTACTGATGACGGGGAACTTCGAAAATAAAATGTCCGCGTTTTCTGAATTATGTTGTGCCCTCGAGTGCTTATAGGATAAGACATCTGGTATGTACAAACACAAGGATACTCATGAAAGCGCTTTCTAGGATATAGAAAAAAGCAATGGGGAAAGTGATTTGATGGAGTCGAAAGAAGTTGCTAACAAAATTAAGAACATGCTGTCAACCCAAATGAATACGTGTTCGTATCCAACCACCCACTCGGCATGGTCCGTTCTCTTTGTAAACTTTAATAACTTTAACTTAATAATTCGTTTACAACTAAAATACCTTCTTGCACAAGAGATTCCATCTTTTGCACTGACCACTTCAGTGAATGCTAAACCCGAGCTGACGTTTGTCCAATTCACCGCTCACAACATTCTTGTTATTTCGACACTGTGCAGCCCATTAAAATTAAAAAAAATTAAATTGAAATTAAATCCGTGGCGTAACAGCTCCAGAGAGCCAAAGCCGACTAGCTTGACCGCTGGCCTCACGTTCACATGCCTAAGTAGAGGTGAAAGATCATCCGACCAGATACAGGATGACGTGTGGTCAGCACGACGAACCCCCAGCCATTGCTAGCTTTCCTGACCGGATTACGCTACTCATTGTAGCTCCCCAATTTCCTCACGATGCTGGGTTGGCATCGGTCGAAAATCTCATGAGAAATTTCTTTCCCCGAGACTCGAACCAGCGCGCATTCCGTATCGCCTGTCCGAAGCATGATGCCTTAGACCACGCGGCTACGGCGCGGGATCTGTGCAGCCCATAGACATGTAAAATTGGTTAAATAAACACTAATTAGCGATGCAGTAGATATGAAACAACAGCTATTATCATGTAAATCCTGACCGTATCAAAATGTCTTAAAATAATTTCTTAAGAGCGTGATGTTTGTGAAAAATGTAATAGTCTAGCACTTGGCCGTATTCGTTTCATCTCGCGTGTATCTTAAAGACCTTCAAAACTGAGTCTCATATTTACAGACATCTTTGTTCTACTGCACATTAATTATGACATCCCGTACCAAAGCATTACTCGTTATAACTTTTCACCCTTTGTACCTCTGAGCGCAGAATCTCTTTGATGTCGCAGCAGAAAACTGCTGACCTCCTAACAGCCGGGTGTAACGAAGAGGACTCTTATCATTCTGCGGTGCTTGAAGGGTGCGCATGCATGTTACCTTTGTTAGCCCGGTTAACACTTTAGAAACCCAATAACAAGAAGGCATTTATAGGATTTGAGACTTCCGCGGCGAGTACAATCAATAAAATCATCTCGGGCAATCAGCCGCGTCAACTGGTTACCGTAGTAAACCGACGTTTCGGGAACCAACTCTGTCCCCATCATCAGGTTTCTGATGTGACTGAGTCAGTAACATAATATATTACACATCAAAACGGTATTTATCTATTTCATGAATTTCATTAATTCAAATTACTCCCATGTTGTTATGCTAGGGCGCCATATTAGCTCGTCGCTGCTTTATTTCGACGCCATTGTTGTTTCAAGTGCCATTCGAGATCATTGTGATGCATTCGACAAATCTTCCGTGTGTGCCGTGGGATATACAGCCTGATCTGTTCTGCTGAACTGACTCAAATGAATGGAATTAGAGAGCCATGTGGCTTGGGTTTCATTATCGTATTACTCCCGTCGATCGAATCCCGAGTTGGAACTTCGGGTCGAGCTTCGCTGGACAGGGCGTTGGTAGTCTGTCAGCAGCTGATATAACCAGGAGGGCGAATTGTTATCATTTTATACCTCTTTTCGGTGTAATCTGCATGGAAATAAAAGTTACTGTTTTAAACTCCTTGTATGAAAATATCACTAAAAGTTTTAGATAAAGAAGGCAGACTGTTTTCTGGATTGTAGCGCCTTGAGGTCTGGTAAAATTTTACCAAAATCAGGTCTATAAGTACTCATCGTCTTGATTATGGAGGCAACAAGGACCTCTGAGACGTTGGAAAACTTCTACCAGACTACACGAC